TTTTTTCTTTTGCTTAAAAAATGTAAAAACAAAAACAAAAAAACAGAATTTCTTTAAAAAAATAGTTGACCTCCAGAAGTCATTATTGACAAACTGTATAGGTCTGCACAGGCTTTATATTGAAACCTGAATAATTTAATTACCATTAAATATAATCTCAAACCCAAAGTTATACTGTAACAACTGATCCAAGCCCAGGTCCCAGACCTCTAGCACCAGCACGTGGCATTGCAAAGGAAGTGGAATTGTATTTTGTAGAAATTCCATGCCAGATTCTGAATGTGTAGAAGGTTGTGATGCATCACTTTTCCTGAGGCTGTCATTATGACTTGGGGGTATGTTATGCCGAATGCTGATTCAGTAGAGATTGACAGGCTGCTGTGTGTGTGTGTGTGTTTATCTCATATTCAGGCTGTGTATGTTGTTTTGTGAGTAAGCACCTGTGATTATCTGGGCATGCATCAGTATGTAATTTATTTCTTGTCTTATGGTGCACATTATGTGTTAGCATAAGTGACTCTGTGTGTGCGTATCGGAATCCATGTTTGTATAAATGTCGGTTGGTGGTAGCTGGCCGTTAGAAGTGGTGTCTGAAAGCCTGATGGGTAATTGATGACAGCACATGCTCACTCCCTCCTGTGGAACTTGGCTTCAGCCTGCTTACCTCCCTGATCTTCAAAAGCTCACTCGCTTTCTCTCGTACTCACACACACATATACTCACTGGTTGAAAGCAAAGAAAAACAACAAGTGTTGCATTAATCAAACAGCCTCTTCTTTCCAGGGGAATTGTAGCACTTTAGAGAAGCTGCCTGGTCTGCTCCTTTAGTAGCACTAGATCACCCAGCCAAACATTTCACCCTCTCTAATGTGTTTTGATGACTTTTCTTCAGCAGGAGTCACGCAATTATAATTCAGATGCTTCACTTTTGGATGTATCATGCTTAGAGCTATACTGCCCTACAAAGCAAAAAGGCAGTAACTACGCAGAGAGCAGAACTAAGAAAAATGACTTTTGCTAGGGCTTTTTGCAGTTACTATACAAACCACTACCATTTTTCTCTAAAACGACACGCATTTAAGATAAGATGTTTTGTCACATAACAAAGGATGCCTTGAATGTCATGAAAATTGTAATAATTAATGCTTTAACAAAACTGCAGTTACTGCCTTTTTGCTTTGTAGGGCAGTATACAGCAACCACATATTTGGACTCTTAAAAATGTATGAATGTTACTGCATTGGAGAAGAAAATATCAAACCAATTAAGTAGCACTGACTTTACACCAAGACAGCACAAGCACTCTTTAAGCCAAACGTTTAGAAAAAAAATAGTTTTGGGGTTTTAAATGATGTAACAATAGATGCACAGTTCATAATTAAAACAGAAAGTCTATTGCAGTGCTCACAAAATAAATAAAAAAACTTTAGGGAAAACTAAAACTAAACTTGTCCCCTTTAATCTAAATATGTGAATGCTATTAGCTTTGGTAAATTAAAGTTCTCTTGAGATTGTAGGTGAGACCATGTGCAGATTGAAGGCCAAAGCTTATTATTCTCTCAGCTAGCCCATTGAAACTGAATCACAGTAAGTTGTTCTGAATAAAGACCTGTATGCACTTCCATATTAATCTGTCACATTATGGCTTCTGAGACACATGGCCCTGTCATGGTGCCTTGATAACAGAGTTGCCATTTTCCTGCAACATATAAATATGTATAATTCTGATAAATATAATTGAATAGCTTATATACACAGAGAGTGAGACAGAAATCTCACAGGGAGCACACACAGTCTGTCTCACACCCCAGAAAATGGCTGTGCACTCCTAGAACTCCATCAAATTGAAAAATGGTGCATTAGGAAGGTCTTTGAGTGGATAAAAGCCACATCTGGTAGCTTGTGATATTTCTCCGCTGATAAGTAAGGTACGGAGACCTTTAACCTACCAGCCTCACCCCAATTCCACAATTTTTTTGATTGAGTTGGGAGAACCTTTACTCATACTTGTGTAAGACAAGGATCTATTACAAAATATTGTTTTGTTGTTTTATGTTTCACTCTGTAGGGACATTTATGGTGTCCATGGTCTTAGCAAACACTTTGGTTGGAGTGTCCTGTATTTCTTTGGAAAGTTTGAGTAAAAGAGCATACAAACAGAATGTGTTTTTCATTTTAAAACAGCTAGAAGGAGTAGCATGTTAGGGTTTCCAATAGATTTTTTTTCATGCCGTTATATGGAAGCACTGCATTTTACTACTTTTTAATCACTAAAAACTCAAAGCACATTATAACAACAAAATTTTATTAGCAACATTTTGGTTAAATCTACCTTCCTCAGCATTATAAAACAAGCTAAATTATCAGCAAATAATCAAAAATAAAGCACAAACTTAATTCTACACAAAAATATATACCATACGTCTAAGCAGTAAATCATACATTTTCTTCATACATCATCAACAGTCAGACAACAGTCTGCAGGATTTATAATTTGCCATGTTTATATTGGACAGTTTGTTTCTTCAGAATAGACAGCCATCGGTGAAAATATTTTTTTTTAAATAGAATCAGATGATATAGTCAGAGGAGTGGCTACATACACAGTCATGCTAACCAGCCATGTAATAAATAAATAAATGCAAGCTTATTTCTTGTAAATAAGTAGACAAAATATATCTTTGCTATATGATATTGTGTGGGTGTTTTTGTCTTTAGAGTTAAATGTGATTAGGTCTTTGTAACTCAATGTGCAAACTCTTTCCTCCAGTGTCTTCCATTCCACTTCCTATCCTTGTATCTCAGGCTCATCCCACAGCAGGCATCACAGCGAGCAGATTAATGACTTAAACAGCGCCGACATGGTCCCAAGCTCACCAAGAAACAGAGAGAGAGAGAATGAATGTGGTGCAGCAGGAAGTCTTTCAGAATGACATTCACACAGAAGAGCCCAGCGAGTTGAATGAAAGCAGCATCAGGAAGAAGATGACATGATAGAATGGGAAACAAAGAAAGAGAGATGTGAGATGGGATTAGAAGCAGAATTAATTAGCGTTAAGGTCAGAACATGACAAATTGTGGTTTTAGAAAAAGAGGGAATGAAAGTGAGACGGGCAAACAGACGTAGCAACTACCTATGGCACTTGAAAAATCGGCTGAGGGAGAACGAGAGAGGATTGTGCATGACAGATTTTGACTGACATCTCTAATTAAAAGGTGCTGTCAGGGGCCACAGTGCAGGGAGAGAGGGGCCCTCATCAGCCCCTGAGACTCGTCCCCGGAAATGATTGATGAGCAATTGCAAGATAAACAAGACGCCCCATGAGCTGAGCTGCAAACTGATGTATGCAGTATTATAAATAAATCTGCACCAGAAAGAAATGATAAAATAAACAAGACAATGCAGGCAGACAATGATTTGCTGTTTCCAGAGAGGCAGGGCTGTGTGTGTGTGTGTATAATATGTTTTCTGCCATGCTGGGGTAAAGTGATGGCTGGCTAACAGACGCTAACAGCAGCTGGTTTCATGGCTGAGACTTTGCTGAAGCGCCTGAACTCTCCCACACTCGCGTGCAACAAAACTGCAGCCTCCTGGGACCTAGCCAGACTCTGCCAGCCATAGATGCACCTTAATGCGTGCGCCTGTAGCTTTTTACTGAGCGTGCATGCCCTCGCAGATGCCGTATGCGTGTGCGGAAACACGGGCTGCCTTCTCGCTCTGCAGTTATTAGTTGTTGGAAAACATGTGTACTGTCATAAAGAGAAGCGAGCTGGGAGCTCTTCGGATACGTTCACCGTATCATTATCAACCAAAGGGCAGTGGGATGGTAAAGTGTGAATGAATTATGAATGGAAAGTTGAGGATGTTCTCGCGCATGTTTTCCCCACAGGATGCGCTTCACTGCTTATTTGCATCAGCAAGGCGCTGCTGGTCGTAGGTCTATATGAAATATATGGCTTTCTCTCTCTCTCAACAAACAAAGCCAAGTTTTAGTACGTTAAAAGCTGACATGATGAGTAGAAAATGTACCCTATTTGAACACAGTTTAGAAAGGCTACATAATCTACAACAGGGGAATACAAAAATGCTGAATAGCTGTTTGGCTATTGGTTAATATAACCAGCACAATCTTAATACTCTTTCCTGGTCTTGAAGTGAACAGATCATTAGTATACTGTACTTTGTATTTGTATAGAAAAAAAAATGTGTGTCTTTTAACAAAATGCATTAGTGAGTTTTCAGTTTTGACCAACAAAGGCTGCGCAGATTACCATGTCGACCAGGTTATTGTTGTAACACATAGTTAATAATTGTGCACAATAAGTTAACAGTCCTATCATTATTTTTTATTTTTGTGTGTGTGTATTTTATATATATATATATATATATATATATATATATATATATATATATCGGTGTTATATACAATTGTGTTAAATACAATTGTGCTTGTGAAAACTTTTCAGGATTCTTTGATGAAAAATCAAAAGAACAGTGTTTATTTGAAATATTAATCTTTTGTAACATTGTCTTTACTTGCTGATTAAAAGTATCAATTCCTTACTGACTCCACACTTTTGAACTGTAGGAAAATAGCAACTCATTAAGTATATTCTAAAAAGATTTCTGTTGTTTAAGAACTGCTAAACATTGCAGATTCTGCAATGTTTGTGTACGTGTATGAAGCAGAACTGTAAGTTACATTACAGAGGTAATGTGGGTTTCAAATAGTATTTCATGGTAACTTCAAGGCTTTTTTAACTCTGCATGACCATGAACACCTGTATACAAGTGTGTGTGTGTGTGGCGTTAGTCACTGGTGCACTGCTGCTTCTCTCTCTGCCTTGAAACAGCCGTCTTTGTACTTCTGCCGAAAACATTCCTCAGCACTAAAATTTCTCTTCCTCTCTTCTCTCACCCCACCCAACCCCATCTTCTTTCTTTCTTCCTTCCATCCATCCACCCCTTCTCTTTCCTTTTTCTTCATTTCTGGATCTAGGCCACAGAATGGGTCGATGATCCTCTACAATAGGAAGAAGGTGAAGTACAGAAAGGACGGCTACTGCTGGAAAAAAAGGAAAGATGGGAAGACCACGCGGGAGGATCACATGAAGCTCAAAGTACAGGGAGTGGAGGTGAGGCCGTTCGTCCGCACCGTAACACCTCGACTCGCTAAGAAATCGTTCAGGTGCAAACAATGGCCGCACTTTAGAAAAGAACCCCTATCGCTTGGACATGAGCTCCGATTCGGGCTCCATCTTTTTTAGTCCACATGTGAGAATGAAAAAATACACCTCAGCAGCCCGAGTTTAGTTTTCCCCTGATAGCAAACAAAATGGAAGCAATTGTTTGTACCTTATTAAGCTCAGGATGTTTGCTCTGCTCCAGAGTGCCGGTATTAATCTTCCCCCATGCTGGGAGCCACTGCCATCACAGGTAGACTGTAGGGTTCTTTTCTGCTTTTCCGCGCCCTGGCATGGCCCCGCTGTGTGTGTGAGAGTGCTCTTTGATTTATCTCCACTCGTACACACATATACACGTGCACCAAACAGCGTGGGTGCTGGATACAGACTTTGACTCTTTTGTTTTTTGGGGTTTGAACTGAATATCTATCATTTGGTATGGTGTCCCCTGGATAGTTGAGTATGCTGAGGTCATGTGATGTTGTTTTGCATATCTAAGTCCAAGCATATAGATGACAAAACGCACACACACAAAATATTTGATACACTTGCCAAGATGTGCATTATTCTCTGCCTGCTCTCTCTTCATGGAGCTCTCATTAGACAGTGAACAGACCTCACTTAACAACCAAATCGCTGCCAATCATTTTTTGGCAGTGTGTTTTCTCACAGCAGATGTTTCAAAGGAAGTTTTGAGTTTCTACAGATTATCCGTTAAATTCACCAGCTTTCCCTCTTGGGTATGGTTCCCAAAAATAATTTTCACTCATGTTGTCTAAACCAGTTGGATTTCGCTTTAAACTACATGTTAAACAGAATGATTGCTTTTATATTCCATACTTCATCATAAAAGTATAGTCTATACAACTCATGCTTAATATTTCATATCTTTTGGAGTCATACCAAAAGAAATTAAAGCTGTAAAAATGACTGGAGTATGTTTAAAATGTTCTACTTCAAAATGTTTAATTCATTGGGATACTTTCTATTTCTTTGTAATTATTGGTCAAATTTATTTAAAAATGGAAATTCTAATTCACTGAAAATGTCCACAATTTTGCATATTCACACACATGTACAGTACAGTTCAACGCATGCAACAATCAATGAAATTTGGCTTTATTTGAGATCATTTGTCTATTGACTTTTGATATATTCCTCACACAAAGCTTTTTAATGACTGTGTGAGATTTAAATATGGCACACAAGTCAAACCGATTATTTTTCTTGTTCTTTTGTGATAATTTTTTGCACTTTTTGGAGCTTGACAGCCCCTAGCCATTGTTTGTGGCTTGAATGATTTAGTAAATCTCATTTTGTGTCCAACAGAAGAAAGATATTCAGTCAGTAAATGATGACAGAATCTTCATTTTTGAGTGTACTGTTCCTTAAAGGACATTTGCAGAGGTAAAAGTTTCTCAACGCATCGGCCAGCAAAGTCTTGTAAAGTTCAGATATACTGTATGTGAGAAATGCTGTAAGGATCTTTATAGGCCCCTGTCATGTCTGAAGTGTCCTTTGACCCTCACACACACTGACTATTGCTAAAAGAGCTCATTTGAGCTGAGGTAACTCAGAGTTGAACTCACCCACTGAGCTGTAGAAACACTCAAACAAACCCCTCTCTCTCTCCCTTTCTCCTTGTTCCCTCTTCCTTTATATCTCTCAGCCAGGAACGCCTGCTTGCATCTGGCAGGCTTATTCTCTAACACATGTCTCCATATGTTTTTCCTGTGTAAATGGCTGTGGCTTACAGTGGACTCATTTCAGAAGGATAGCAAGAAGGCTTTGGGTACTATGGTGGACTCAGCAGAAAATTGCATGTCTGGCAAGCAGAGAAAAAAAGAGTTCCCAGTGCAAACATTTCCTAGCTCACAGCAGGCTTAAAGGGATACGTCAGAAAGAGATGTGTAAAAAAACATCCAAGTTGTACTTTTTCCTGTAGTAAAATGTGACCATAGTTTTCTCTGGTCGCCATTCACTTTAAATTCTGATAAACATTTCCTTTGGTGTCACACAAGAATTATTTTTTTTTTTTGTAGCGTAACAAAACATCTCAGGTTATGACTGTAAACATAGTTTTCTGAGAAAGAGAACGAGATGATGCATGACGCTTTGGGAACGCTCCCAGCATGAATGCGTCTGATGCATCTATGTCAACTAGTCCAATGGAAGGAATGAACGTCACGGGCGGGTGACATCATGACCAGGAAGTGATAAAAGAGCATCCGGTGCAAACTGGCATTAGCTTCAAAAATTGCCGAAGCAAGCCGATCACAGGGGTGCAGGAATTATGGTAGAGTGATGCATCGTCACATAACACATGTCATCTATGTTAGAATTACTAAGAAATAACATTAATCGATTATGTTCACAATTATTGTTCGTTTTTATATATATATACACATATAAACGGAATATATATTTTTTGAGTGGACTATCCCTTTAAGAAATCACCTCTGTCTTTTAAGAGACTACAGTCAAATGACTGTATCTCCATAGGTGACGCATAATGAGGCATGCTGATCAGATGACTCCAGCAGCGAGTGGACTCCGACGGTTCTGTGTTTTTCTCCTCCTGCTATGAGCAACAGTATAATAGGGGAGCGGCCACTCAGTACGTCCTCCCAGCGCACCCCAGACTGGTGCGATCAATCAGAGCTGTGCTCTTCGGGATAATAACTTTGCCCTATCAGTCTGCCTCAGACCTGTTTACTGCAAACGCAAATAAATGACGTGACCTTCACCTTCAGAGCCGTTTCACTGAGGGCTTTTTCTCGAGGAGGGGTGTGTGATAGGTGTCATATTGTGTGGTCTGTGTGTGTTTGAAACAAGGGCTGTTAGAACTCTCTGTCTTATGGTTACAATACATGAATACTCCTTAGAGTGGCGTCTGTGGTAGCTACCTAGTCTCCTTTGCTCTCTCTCTCTCTCTCTCCATAGAACAGATGAACCTTGAGTCCACAGTAAAACTCCTTGTTCCCTAAAATTGGAGCAAGACGTGTGTTACAGCATTAGTACTTAACAGGGCGTGAAATAGCAGCCTGGCTTCCTGACGTCTCCCCATCACTTCAGGTGAGAGTGTAGACGGTGAGATAGATGAGCATCCCCTCTTCTTACTCGTTCCCACAATGCAACAGGGCCACCTGAAAACGGCATGTCCATTATTGGCTATCTCTAGTTTATTTCCTGGATGTAGTTGACGCCTCCCTCGTCTGACCCTCAGATGCAAAGGCCTAATCAGTAAGTCAACCAGCCGTGATCTAAGCGCATAGCAGACTCATCTATATTCCTAATAATTCCTGGCTACCTAACAGCTTTCAAGGATAGCTGTTTTGTCTTTCTATTACATGGCTTTTTAGCACCATCAATTCAAGGGGTGAATCTGATGAATAATCTTGCAGGAAAAGTGCTGAAAAGCTGAAAAGTTAAATGTGACATACACAGGTAGCTGATCTCATCTCTTTGTGTCTGTGCTGTACTAGCTGACTTGAGGGATCATCATAATTCTGTTCAGTTCCGTTTTTGTGCACTTTACAATGCACAGTTCCAAAGCAGCTTTACAGAAAATTGAGAAATAATTTCATTTTACTTTATTTTATTTAGTTAGTTTAGTTTAGTTTAGTTAAGCTTTGTTTGGGATTTGACATCAATGGCTTAAAGGCCCTGATTTCGCCGACTCAATTCTTTTCGTTCTTCGTTTAGGGTTAAAACTAAGGGGCTGTTTACACCTGACCACTTCATGCATTTTCTCAGATCGGATAGCTATCTGGTTTGTCAAATCCGATCTTCAATTGCCGCGCTATGTGCTGATTTAATGGAGTGAACGTCACCGAAAGCTACAGATATGAGCTGCATTTTATTGATCATCAGATAATTTCAAAATCAAAGATGAGATGACAATAAGAGAGAGAGGCAACAGCCCTGGTAAGATTCTTTTGTTTCTTTACGTTTAATGTAGATGATTAGGTTAAGCACTTGCGACGTACTTTCACTTTGATTTGCGATAGTTTGGACGTTGATATATATATTATATACTATATATATTGTATTTTGAAATCAGATTTAAGGCCCTTGATCAACAGAGGATCGATCTATTTCTACCTCTTAATCTGCTCTCTTTCTCTGTGTGTGTGCCCAGTTCTTATTTTCTGTACCTTGTGTTGTTGGCTACTTACTTTACTTTAAGCAATTTAATAATTTCAAGGTAAACTTTACTCAATTAGTTTTACCGTTTCGTTGGTAAACAATAAAAAAAAAACTCTTCAGTGGTTAAGTTGATCTCTTTTAAAAATACAATATGATATTAAAACTGTTGATGTTGTGCAGGATCTGTAAGTTTGCATAAGGGTAAGTACAAAGCTGGACATCCATGAATTATTGGCTTAGCTTTCAGTATTCGTCGTGTGTAAAATCGGTTCTTTTCTAATGTTATGTGGCCTTGTTTGCCCTCAGAAAGTCTCGGAGATTACTGCACTTCAATAACCAAGGGCCTGATGAAAGGAAGACAATATCCGGTGAAGAATTCACTCCCAGTATATCAGCATATTTTACCTTAGCCCTAAATAAATTAGGTGTTAATTAACTTAAAATATATTCACTAGGTAGAAAGTTAGAGAAGGAGCAACAGTGCAGTACCTGCAGAGTATTTTAATTATAGTCGCACATTGATTAGTTGCATTATTGATTGATATTGATTAGCCATGCAAATGTTTTATTTAGAAAAAAAGTCTAGATGCTCTTCTGCAAATGTTCTTGTTTTAAATTTTCAAGACACATTCAGTTGCTACAATTGCTATATCAGCGGTACAATTGCTATATATGTCAGAGGTCACATGCCTCTGGAGCAACTAGGGGTTAAGTGGATTCGAACCCAGGTCTCTCACACCAAAGGCATGTGTCTCATCCACTGCGCCACCACCACTACTGAGAATATTTTAAATCAGCAAAAA